TAACCTTATCTCTCTCCCTCCTCTCTCTTTCTCTCTCCTTGTCCTTGTCCTTGTCCTTGTCTCTACTACTCCTGTCTCTGTCTCTTTCCCGCTCGCGATCACGATCTCGGTCCTTGTCCCTTTCGCCCTCTCTCTCCCTCTCTCTACCACTTCTGTGGTGCCTATCCTTATCGCGGCCATTCTCGTACTCGCCCTTCGACCTCTTACTGCTCTTCCTATCCTCATCTTCGGCACCGACCGAAACGTCGTCGTCAACCTCTCTTTTTCTGTAACTCTTCTCGGTTCCGTCCTTCTTCGTTTTCTTCTTCGAGTCCCGCTCGTCGTTCTCCTGTACAGTCTTCTCCAGATAATCGTACTCGTCGAAGTCCATCGCTGGCTTCAGAATTGCTTGCCAAGGTTCTCTGAGCTAGGGTTTGTCGAAACCCTAGGTTTACCAGAAAGAGGGAAAAAGAAAACGCTGTGTATTCGGAAATTTTATAGTTCTAGGGTTTTGAAGAGTTTCAGCAAATGGGAAAGGTCTTTGGTTGTTTCCTGTGTTCCCCTATTAAGCTGGGATGTAGGGCCGGATGTAATTTGCGCATATACGAAGGCCAAAAGCCCGTGGGAGAAAATCCATCAAGAAAAATAATAAGAAGAGCGCAAAAGACGAGGTTAAAATTCTATTTATCTATTTCTTTGAGTGCGGCTACTTCTTTCCCCTCCCATTTCCTCACTCACTTTATTTTCTCATTTACCATGTAAATTTAAAAAAACAGTATCTTATCTTTCCAACCACCATTATTCATAAAATACCATTTAATTATTAATTAAAGCAGTCCTGATTTTCCTGGAAAAAATTTTAGAGCCCATCTGGTAATGTTTTTGGATGATATTTTCTAAGAATATTTTTAGAGAATGAAAACGAATTTGCATTTTCAGAATTCGAGAATGCATCTGGTAAATTAATTGAAAAAAAATAAAAAAAATAAAAAAAGTGAAACATATCTAGGAGTACGATTTTAGAATAATAATATGTGAGCTATTTTTCAAGTGTATTTTTGCTAGTATATGTTATAAAAAAAAACCCTAGACAAAGAATGTATAACTTCAATAAAAATGCATCATATAATCTATGTGAGTTGTTTGTCATGGAATTATGGAATAGGGAAAAAAAACAAAAATACAGATAAATCTTTCATGAACATTCTAATTAATTAAAAAGGTTAAACGTTAAAAATTCAAATAAAAAAACAAAAAATTTATATTTAAAACCCCCTCTCTCTCACCAACCAAAAACCCCCTTCTCTAAACCACATCCTCTCCCGCCTCCTCAACCCACACCCTCTCACACTCCATCCCTTAGAGCACTTCCAGCAGTGAGAATGTTGCCATGGCAAGAGGGAACTAGGGCTGACACTATTCACGAGAATAGTGTCTGCCCTTGCAAAAAGTAAGTTGCACTTCCAGCAGTTACCATGGCAAGGGGGTACTATTCAATTTTTTGTTTTTTTTTTTCACAAATTTGTTTACCTAAACAATTAATTTGGACAATATTTCCGGATGAGATTTTCTAATAAAATATTCGGATAAGATTTTCAGATAAGATTTTCGGTTTCAAATTTCAGATAATTTTTTTTTTCAAATTTCAGATAAATTTCATTTGAATTTCAACTTTTCATTTGAATTTAAATTTCAAATAAATTTCATCTGAATTTCAATTTCAGATAAATTTCATCCGAGTTTCAAATTTCGGATAAGATTTTCACCCTATAAAATTGCGCCACGTGTCATCTGAATTTCAAATTTCAGATAA